TTCAAATTCCCGTCACGTTGTCGGACAATACTCACATCAAACGTCAAGCGAGAGCGTGGATTCGCCTTAAAAATCCTAAGGGATAGTAAAGACATCCCGGATAGACCCTCGGAACATTATTTAAATTAGTGTCAAGGGTGGATGGCCTTGGACGGCGACTTTTTAAATTTAAGGAGGCGGAGGCCAAACATGACAAACGAGCGGGGGATTTTCGGGGCGCCTCCTGGAACGGACCCGGTGGATGCTTGCGTGAATAATAAATATACTGCGATGTTTTTTTATACAAGGTTTAATTTTTTCTATGGATGAGCGACAAATAACAAATGACAAAAAAAAGTTACGTAGAGGTAGACAGCAAATAGTTACTTCTGTATTCCTTCTGCTTCGGTTTTTGTTGAGTTCAACCAGCTAACGTTTCGCCAATCATCCTGTTGGCTTCTTCAGAGCTCGACTGACACTGGCTCGCATTTTACTCAGTACCTGCTTTTGTATTGTTTAAGGGTGGCGGAGCTAAATGAGGGGCATAAACATCGCCTCGGATGACTGATCCCCATGTTGGCGAATGGTAAAGACCTGAGTCGCGATTAAGATTGTCAGGTTGCTTATAGGTATCTATAGACTCTCGGATTTTTCGTTGGTTCAACAATTGATAATTACATGCAAGAATTTAAGTTTTATCGAATAAAATTTAATACTCGGTTTCGTGATTGTGTTCGGCAACTGCTCATGAATTTATTTGTCTTAATCTTAAGGGTCTTTCATAACATATTCACATAAATTTTCTCAACTGCCCATAATTCCATTAATCCTCATCATCTAGTAATATCCGAGGATTCATAGACGCTGTTAATTATTTCGTAAGTTCATAAGTTAATTCATAATATTTAAATTAAAATTAATAATAATTTATGTTGAACAAAGTTCTCGCCGAGGAAGTCCCAAATTATCGACTAGGAATTCCACCTTAAGAACTAAAAGTTAACCCCTAGTTTAATTTAATTACAATAAAAACTTCACACTAAGTGTTGTCTCGTCCAATATGAATTATAAGTAGGGAGACTTTGTGACCATCTTCTTCAGGCAAATGGTCAATCGGATACTTTGGTAGCGGCTTAGTTCTAAAAAAATAACACATATTAAAACATTAAATAGTATAATAAAATCTCTATATTTACCAAGCAACATTACGGCTTTAAACATCACAGCAGTAACTGATATATTTTCTTGCCAAGAACGACTCGTGTGTATGTAGATGCGTGAACTTAACAACTTAATTAAACTTCTTTAGTTATTCGTCACAAACACGTGACTAAAACTGGCTTTATCAAACTCGAAAATGAAAATTTTCAAATAATATATTTTTTTTTCAAATTTCATCAACGCATCATTATCATTCAGAGAATCATACTATTATGTGTAAGCGTGTAATTTTTTTAACCCTTTCTTGTTATTTTTGTTAGGTTTTCTGTATTTCTAATGTTTAGCAGGTATAGCGATCTAGGTCCTATGAGTGCTAGAATAATTCTGTAGTGAGGTAAAACAATTTTATTTCAGTTTCAGACTTGGTTTATATAGAGCCATAGTTACCAAGCATTGAAATAGCATCTAATTTAGAGAAAATAGTATAGCAAAAACACGTTTTAAACCGTAGGTCAGTGGAATACATCTAAGGTTTAAATAACAATATTTTTAATACACATTTTGCTCTATATTTAATTGTAACGACCCCCAGTACACAATATCTATGCTTTATGATAGAGATTTTTGTTAATTGAAAATTTAAGATATGATTGTCTAAGTTGAGAAAATGTATAAACTAATATTCTAATTTTTGGCTATCTCTGTTTCTGAAGAAGTGTAATTTGTGCTGTCATCGATTTCAATCCACATAACAAAAAAGTATTGTTGTAAAAGTCTCAGTTTGTATACAAAATCTCAACATTGTTTAATATTGATAATATTTAATATTTTATACACGAGCTTCGCTAAAGGGGCGACCAATTCTGTATCCAATTTCCCGAAAGAACATTCCGACCTCGTAGGCCTGCCCCCTTCCCATACAGCCCGTTCACATTGACCTAATTCACAACTCTTCTTACAGGAAGCATTGCTTTTAGATAGCTCAAAGGTAATGCAACTTTATACGCAGATTAGATTATATTAGAAAAGAATGTCTTTTAAAATTGTGAGGACGATTTTTATAGGCAAAAATAAATGCAAAAAAGATCTTTTTCTACTCCCTTCCGTAAAATATCCATTACGCGACTTTTTAAGTAGAATACATTCTTTAGTGCTGATGGTGGACATCAGTTTAACGAGTATCCTAAAATGTACTGGATAATCAACCCCTAAACTTTTTTTAGTATTTCAAAGGAGTTAATAATTTTATTTCTACCTACATGATCACTTTCTCAGCGGTTTGCGCAACTCTTTCATTCAATTACGAAAGTTTTAATTACAGAAGCTTTATTTATACAAAGAAAGCATCTCCGCGTGTCGAGGGCAATATCGGAGAGTTGCCGACCCCGGTATGGCCCGAGGACCAAATTAACTTTCGCCTCAATAGAACACGGATATTAAAATAAGCTTTGTACCGGAATATTACGTTTGCCTACTTCAAACGGATCGACCCAAGCATCCTTGGGAACCGAACGGAATAAGATTACCTGCGTGCAAAGTACACGCACACATTTAGATTCGCGCACAAAATTGTAAGATTCCCTTGGCGGTTCGAATTAGTCGCTTCCGGGCATTTTGGGGGATGTAGTTTTTCCGGGATGCTCAATTGTATTAATTACGCTGTAGCGTTCCTCCACCTGTATTTTAACCATACTATATTCGTATAATATGATAGTCAGCTGTCCATTGTACTATAATAAAGACAGTAAAAAATTAAGACTTTTGCTATCGCAAATAGGATACAAATTTGTTCATGGCATCGTTGAGATATTTTTTTTAGAAGCGAAGAGGATGTTAAGGTGTTCAGTAACTAGCTAAAATTCTTGCCTGCACTTACTAAAGCGCAATCTACCCCTTAACCTAGGTGATATCAATTTAGGAAGCTCCCTTCTTGGAGTAATAGTAGGTTTTTCTAGTTGATTTCAAAGAGATTCCAGATTCCGGGTTTTCCGAGACATATTGTAACTAAAACGGCATCAAAATTAAAGATATCAGCTTAAAACTCCAGTTTCTGGTCCTGATCTGGTCCTTTTCTTGTCAATTTCGATCAAATTCGGCATCTTCGGTCCCTTCTGGGACAAATGGTTCCTTTTTCTTCTTGATTTCGAACACATTGAAGACAAAAACGACTTTTCTGCCCAATATTCTTACGAAAGCGACATGAAACTTGCAGATATCTGCCTAAAACCTCACTTTCGGGATAAAATAGTTACCTGCGAGTTTTAACTGTGAACAAAAATGTAGTCATCATTTTCGTAGTCAATATTAAAGTTAAGATATATAACCTAAAAATTATTTGTTTAACGGAGTGCCGGGTATATTTGAGGTTAATAATGCTGGTTACATTCAGGTGGTCTGTTTGATATTAATAGCCATGTTTTAATTGCATGAGACTCGCACCATGTAAAGCAACATGTTTTAAACAGTACTTTGAAGTTTTTCATATTATTATTATACCATTCTTAGAAGTAAAAATGAAAATTTGGTATTTCTTTTATTGGTCTTTACCTCTAGGTCCGATTTTAGACTTTTTTAATATATTTTTAAGTTTGCATTAGAAATGTTAAAGTTATATCAGTTTTGAAGGTTTGAAAAGTCAATTATCGCCACGTATTCTAAACTAACTGCAACATATACTGGTACCAAATTTCCATTTTTTTTTCTCTCTAAAAATATAAATTTACAATTTTTCTGATTACTAACTTTTACTTTTACTAGAATCTAAATTTAAAATTTCGTTAATGACTTATTTTTGATTTTTAAATTAAACCTTCAAAACAAAAAGACCAATCAATGATTGTCAATAATAGTGTGAACTTAACGACTATTTTTCTTTTACTGATATACATAACAGTCTTTGGAGAAAACAATATCCGTGTATCGAGAGCATTCTCCTATTTTGAAGAAAATAAGACACATATTTTCGAATTCAACTTGCAGCAGAATGTAAAATTTTGTAGGCAACTGATTATTTAATTGGAAATTCTGCTCTTTATCAATTATGCAGTGATCAGGTATGCGCACACTGTCACTTTAAGACATCTGCTTTCTTAGCCATTGGAGGTTTCCAGTACTTGAGTCACCAGATTGGGAAGAATCGGATGGTTTTGATAGATTTCATTAGATGGCCGAAAAAATATAGAAGTCGTAGTAGGACATCGATCTATCGAACTCACAAAGGAATTCGTTATTGATTGTGCTTTGCTCGTGACAAAATCAACTTCCGATTGAAGGGTCGTTCCTCAAAATTCTTGCATAATACACTGCTTAGGAAAAACTAAGGATTCAAACACATTCTCAAGTAAGGTTGAGGACATAAATGCAGCGCCCTGGCATTAGGAAAGATAGAATAGGAATCGGAACACTTTGAAAGCTTGACAAAAACAAAAGTTCATATCTACAAGAGCGTGATGCGACTTTCAAGAACTGACACCACAAAAACGTTAGATATGATTGAGGTCTGCTAAATAAAATCATTGAGAAGAATCGTGAACAATACAGGTATAGACAGAATTAAGAATGAAGATATCAGGGAGAAGTGAAAGGCTAGGTTATGGGAGTGGAGTGCACAAGCATTAACAATGAATCAATGTTGGCGAGGAAGATTCATGACAACGCCTCTTTACGATAGACAACTTGTGGTCGACCAAAAAAGAGGTATAAGGACGCTCTAGACCTATTACTAATATAATAATAACGAGAGACCTCAACTTGTGGTTGTAGTTGAACCCGTAGTCTTATGGAACCATGATTTTTCGAGTATGGACGATTTCTTTCATTTATACTATTTTAGTAAATAAAACGCACAATTAATTTATAGACAATGGTTATATTTATTACGCCTTAAAAATTTGTAACCCCATTGTATTACAATAATTATAAAAGCTGTCAAAAGCTCGATCATTTAGTGTCATTATAATATACTGATATTTTTCACGCTTATAAAAAACATTTCCACATATTCTAAACGGAAGTGACGACGCTCAACCGGACAAGTTTTTATCTATTCACGTTCTAGGAACTAAACCAAACATTATCACTGCAAACGATTTTTTTTTTCATTAATAATGTGCCTTGATCGAGACCTTGAAATTATGCGCAAAATAATTATGGGGTTGTTTAACTATTGCCACCTATCGACTAACAAATTAACTAAAAGCGACGGTTGGGCATCGTTACTTCTACCTTACAACTGATTAATATTACAATATTATCCTAAAATATATAATATAGATACTATACAGTACATTGAAGGATTCTGACGATATAAAAACTTTCTCCACCAGCTTAATCATAGGTACTCTAGTAGTTGCAATAAATACTCGTCCTTTTAGGTCATTAGGAAATCGTGCGTTGCGATAGCCGTTCGAGATTATTTTTTTGGTATATATATCATCAAGTTATGGCACGTATTGCTTTAAAAAGGGGAACGGCCGGCAAATGCACGATTCCTCGCGAACAGAAACCTGAACAAGACCAAGATTAATAACAATCAAGAAGGGAACCAAGAACAATCTTTTGGTAGTTCGACAAGCGCACAACAATTTGTGTTGTCTTTTGTTTTCGGAAAACGAATCGGTGGGGGAAACGAAAACCTCGGTGTTTATGTTTGAAGCTCCGATTCAAAACGGACGCCGCGGTTCACGGGCGACATTTTTTTTTGTTAACCTAAAAATTTATAGCCGCAAACAGCCACCGGGGCGGGGCGCCCGTTTCGAATGCGACGCGATAGTTGCGGTAATACAATCAAAAAGAGAAAACAATATAATCTCTGCTGATATTGCTCTTGGGTAAACTCTGAAAAATACATTTATAATAATAATCAATTAATAATGACAATAAATTTTGGTCGGGGTCGGAACGGCAACATTTTGTACTCATTCAAAAATCACCAGTTTGATTTGTAACGCGCGCAAGGCTCCGCGTGGTATATTTAAGGGGCTTGAGGAGGGCCGAAGTTTCAATTTAGCCCGTCAGTGTAATTCAGCTATGTATCAACTTGGTGTTTTTCTACTCTATTGTATATGAAATTTTCCATAGATGCTAAAAAATTTAGAAATCAAAAAAGAAATAATATAACTTTTTTTTTTAATCAGAAGATGTATGCTTTTTAAAAATTTCCAACTGCTATTAGCAAAACGAGACAACAAGATTAAAAAAATAATATAAAGTTTGTTCGTTTTTCAGAAAATCAACAACTTTGTATGCTTTTTCGGGTCTCAGAAAGACAAAGACATTATGGCCGAGATACGGGTAAAATGAAATATCAAAAACTACTAATAAACTAGTAAAAAACTTCTAAGCTGCTTGGAGAATCGGTTTGTTTTAAAAGCAGCGTTGCCAAGTTTGCAACTAAATAAAAATCGGAGGCAAAATGCAACGTAAGAAAATTATACAAATTAATGATTGTTTATTAAAATAACTTCCTTAGTTGTCTTATATTTGAAGTTACTCGTTAGTCAATTAACAATTCGATAGCATTACTTATATGTTCTCAAGTATTCTCTCACTAAGAAATGTAATGTTTTTATTAATAATCAATTTTTTCTAATTAATTAAAAAATAATAAATGTGAATTGTACTTTTGACAGTTAAATAATAAATGATAATATTTTGTTGCCTGCCTTAAAACAATATAAATTTTCATTTCTTTTAAGATTTTGTACATATCTCGGTCGTCAACTGCAAAAATTAGTAATAAAGTATTTTCGAAAGACATCGCAATAGTTTTGATAAATAAATTAAACACATGCAATTTGATTGAAACTAAAACTTTTTTTTCACCTCCGAAAGTCAGTGTCGCGCTTGCGGGAACGCCTCCGGAATATACCACAGCGAGCTTAGCCATTATCCTGAGCGTAAAACAGCAGAAACAGCATCATGATATAACAATTGGCCGGTTCCCGGCTCTGCTAAAGTAGTGCCGCCTCTATCTAAAGCCAAGGGGCGGCAATGCAGAGTGGGGAGCGCGAACCCTTTGCCGTCCCGCCCGTCCCCTACTACAGTACGCTATAAACATACATAAAATACCTTCTCATTACTTTAACACTTTCCATTAATAATAAAACGTACAGACGACCCGGAAAAACTTCGAAAATAGGTGAAATTCCCTAAGCCACCGTGTAAATAGTAAATATTATGTTTAATTGAAAACAGAGAGGGAGCGTATCCTAGCGGCTATACAAAAAAACTACCGTTATATAGTGTTAAAAATGGCCGCCGAAATCGCGGAAATCACACAACTACGACACCGAATATAAGTAGTTATCATGGTATAATGAGTGCGAGCTCGAGAGCTCTCCGACCCTGGAACGCCGGTCGGAGAGCTTCCGAGAAAAACTCCAAGAAAACTCCGACGAGAAAATCAAAAACCGTGACCAACAGAACAACATTTGGAAATTTGGCAACGATGCGGGAGGTAATTTAGTTGATCTTCGCAGTCTTCTCAACAATGTGCGTGTTGTTACGGATATCGAGAGATTGTTCTACGGGGTTCCCCTAAATCGATCCCTATTGGAAGTGTATGAAGGATGGAAAAAGATAGGGTTGCGAATATTAAAATAGTCGAAAGAGACATCATCAGCATTTTTTAAAGATTAAGTGTATATTATTATATAAAAATTATTTCTAGAATATTTTGAAACAAGCTTTATCCATCATAGCAATTACACCGCAATTTCTGCAACCCGATAATTTATCAGATTTTGATAAAATATCAGACTCAAAACTTCTCAGAAAAAATGATTTTAATTGACGCAGTATAAAAAAACTCATACTTTTAGGTTACTGAAACCTCCATTCCGTTAAACATAAAATTAATAATAAATACTACATAATTAAATCTGTCAAAATATATCGTACTACTAATAAATTGCATTATTCTAGTATATTGCTTTAACTTCAAAAGGGTTCAAAGTATGTATAGTACATTATATTACATTTAGATCAAGAATTTTGATGACATGTTTTGGATTTCATTTTAAAAAATGATGTCAAAGTCTGATTCGAGTAGAACTCACAATGTTGCAATTTTTTATCCATTCTCTCCCATATCTAACAGGAGTCTGGGGAACCCCGTATACTCAAAGCCAAAGGCTTCGGCCTCTACCATCAATGAATTGACCGAATGAAGTTATTCCTCTAACGAATTGATCTATTTTGTTTTTTCATTCTTTAAATTTTAATTACCTAATTGCCTTATAAAAATCCCTGAGAAAAACTTCCGCCCTATATAACGACACGATAGTAAAAATAACGAGGTTTGCTTGTAGACTGAATCGAGGAACTCACTGATGATAGATTTTTCGGGACGGTTTCCTTGTCTATTGCATCGAGAATAACTATAGTCAAGCGAGCATTGTTCTGCACGTCACACAGCACACGCAACTACCGATCTCCACCAACCACGAAATTTTCATGGTCAAACATTTGACCTTGCCAAGCGCCTTACTCACTACAAAGTTTACCTCTACGTCAATATTAAAAAATGGTATACAATTTACAGTATAAAAAATCTAATTATCGCCAATGAACGACGCTCGTTTTTTTTTTAATGATTTTTTTGAACATTTTTTTTATATCAAAAAGTTTATCACTCTGTATAATTCTTCGCGTAGCAGTCGAATTTCTTTTTTTTTTTTTTCATCGTCACAGTACACTTTTCTTGAGCCGGGAGATGTAGTCGAAACAGATTGTGCGGTCCCTACCTAAACTCTACAGCTAGTAAGTATAAAAATATATATCACAAAATTTGAAATTTCACCGTCAAATGGTTTTGCCAATCTTACGAACCTAAGATAATTCCTAACGCCTACGAGTCTACAAGTGAAGTTACTCATTTTAGGGTCTCGTCTTAAAAGTACCGCCGAAGTGGGGCCTGCTCCCGCCCACCGTTGTTGTGTAAATATTCCCTGAAATCGTAAAGGCAAATTTGAAAATCGCGGCGTAAGGAAACGATAGACAGTCGGTGTGAGAATTCTGAAAAAAGCAGTCCTGTTTGCAGTTTCGAGTTCTTTAGAACTTCAATATCACAGTTTATTCCCTTCTAGTTGTTAGAGGCAGTTTGATCGGGCGGGTGCCGCTCGCTCGTCCTCGAATGGTACGTTTAAGAGGGTAACGCGACCGAAAAGCTTAAAATTTATAGCCAAACGCTTCGTGGTTGGCAGAACGAATACGATCAAAACGACTAACGACACACAAGCAACGTTCGACACACATCTAATAATGACCTACATGCAGCCAAGCTACACTAAGATACACAAGTGGTGCTCTATAGTACGACCCTTACCCTGATTACGCCATTTCGTGTAATATTGTGCAATGACAGCCTTATCAAAGTGAAAGAGCACAGCTCAGCGGGAGACATGTTTCGTTTTCCGATTTTTGCAGTGCAAGCCTTCATGTTCCGACTGGTCGCCCCCAATTTCTCATCATTACATCCGCTGCACTTTTATGCGCCGCCTCCAGCTCCATCTACCGGCGAAATGTCAGTTTATGACGTTATTATCGAAAATGACAGAGAGCTCTAAAAAGTTTTCGAGCTTTCAGTGACTTCGTATTTCTTGGACGTGCAAACATGTAAAACTAAGTCTTCTTCAACCTAGCAACAAATCAACAACGGCCTCGATGAGAATGACAGTTTATGTTGATACAGAGGCTTTTAGAGATATAAGGAAGGATTGAATTATTCGAATGTAGTGAGCTGAAGGCCGGTCACAGTTGCAGGGGCTTCAACATATTTATCATTTTCTGGGCAGTCGCCATTTTGGTCCTCGCACCAGCTGGGGTGCCCACGCCACTTTAACGAATACACCTATATATTATAGTATAATTTCAATAATTCGTAAATTTAAATGTACGTAAAAAACGACTACGAGCTAGGCTTAAACCTAATCGACACTGATTATTGTATTAGAGTCGACAAAAACGTTTTTGCAATGATGATGATGGCTTTATATGTACAACTTCGGCTCGGCATTAGACCGAAACTCTAAGTAGGCCGCGATAACTTTGTTGCAGCTAGTTCAGTGGTGCAGTTTAAAAGTTAGTGCTCACCTAAATCGACGGTTTCTCTTTGGTCGCACGGAACCGACACTTTGGCGTTCGTGTGGTGAACTTGGAAAGCAGGCTAAGCGGGTGCGCGGGTGTGTGGAACATGCACTACTCTAAGAACTACTTACGCTAACACGTCGTATAATATTTAAAAGCTCGCACGCGCACGCAACATCATTGTCGGTCATTCGGACAGAAACTCAACGGGTGTCAGATCCGGCACAGGTAAGTCGGTATACGAAAACGAAACGGCTGCAAGCTGTCACATATGGGCGACTTTTTCTAAACAATAGTTAACTATAACTTACCAATACGGACCTAGAAAACGCTCAAAAAATTTTCGACTAAAAACGGGAGAAATAGGAATTACTTTACCCTCAACGATTGATTAAAATGTATTTATATCATATAAAATTTGCAAAAGTAACGAACGGTTTGTACTTGAAGCAATTTCCTAGAGCCGCCACAATCATCTTTCGCCATATTTATTTTGTCAACGCGGCGATTGATAATCACCATTTCCGTCTGAGGTATTTTGCTGGATGACGATAGTACGTTATCTGTCTTGAGAGGCTGAGTGATTTTGTACGTCCGTTTCTGAAAGGCTTGCGGTAGGAGTGGAGCGAAATTTGAATTCGGATGACGCGGCTTTGCGCTATGGCAGAAAGATTGACCCTACTTTAACGCCGATCGGGAATATGGAGTCGATGGTAGCATTTACTGGTCCTCTGGCTTTACCCGTCCAACATGACTTATTGTCATTTTCAGTAATTCTAAAAAAAACGGGCTGAACTATTTCATTATTGCTTCTTAGAATCTTAGTAACGAACTAGCAAACTAAATTTTCTCTAAAAAAAAGAAAGAAGTAATCATTATAACGAGAAACATTCTTTTGATCTTCATGGAAGCGTACGATATGTAACATGGTCACGTGTAAAGGGTCAATAATTTCAAAAAACAAAACGAATTATTTTGGACACTATAAACAACATCTGAATTATGGATTTGTTGTGTATTGTTCTTGGTGAATGCCTTTCTCAAAAAAAGAAAAAATAATATTGGTCAGCATATATTTTAAATCTGGTAAAATTTCGATAATGGCTTTATGCAGGCGACAGATCAAGCAGACAAGAAATAAGACACATTTCTGCAACATTTTCTTTGTTTGATCGAGTCAATAAAGATTTCTACAAGTTGTCGACGAATTATGCTGATAAAAGAAGAAGACCAGAGAAGCACTAAAAATAAAGACTACACATATATAAACTTAGTGGATGATGTCAACTGCTAACCACTAACACTGTTAATTAAAACTTTAAAAGATACATTAGACTGCGGCAGGAATCGCTTGTCGATAGAAATATTCAAGTAATTATCAACCTTTTTGTAACTAAAGGGCCTACAAGGCTTTTCAGATTCTCGAAATCTTCGGCCAACGTTTTTGGAAAGAGAACGATGATCCTCACCATTAAGTCTAAAATTATCCTTACTTAATAGAACTTTAACGCCTTTTTTATACTTAGTCTCATCCAAAAACTTTTGCGTTGTATTTTTCCACCATTGGATGCAGAAGAGAGACAACCGACGGCTAGCTAGCTATAAAAATTCATTTTTAATACTTTCTTCATGGTGGATTCGCACATTTATCCTTGTGGTATGGATAGTTGGTTGCAATTTTCTCTTATGTAAAATACTTAAAATTTCGTGGCAATTTTGCTTCAAAATCGTGTTCCCTTTTTGTCTGCTTGGTCTGGACCCGGCATTAAGTTTAATACAGTAATCTTGTGGGATATGATGGTTCAAAAGTATGATAAATATTTTTAGTTTTTTTAGTTATTGCCTCGGTTATTGCTAACATTTTGATGAAAGGACGTACTAGCTTTAACTACTAACTTTAAAAAAATTTAACACTTTTAGCTTAATTTTCTGGTCAGGAGTTTACATAGTTTACCAAACTGATACTCCCACCTAGATCGAGGGTATAACACATTGAAATTCCGACTCCAAGTTCCATCGGCGTGGGACCTACAACGATAAGGGGAATTCGTGGGACTGGTACATGCACGTACTGGTTAAAGGGGCCCATACACGTCGATCGCGCGCACTCACACCTATCACTAATTAATTATTGGGACACAGCAACTTTTACGATTTTTGAATAATGCGAAAAGAGCACCGGAGAGGTACGATATATTCGCGTAGTATTGACGGCACGACCTAGCGCGAAAATTAACTACGACAACTAAAACAACACAATAAACTTTGCTCCTGATAAACAATAATAAAATAAAAGTAAGTAACGCCGTAAAGAAAGGAAGGTCGTAAAGCTCTCTAACCAAAATATTGACGTTGTTGAGATATTTGACGGTTCTTTAAAGACTAGCATTGGATTGATTTCAGCTCAATTTAACCACCAAGCCCTAGTGCTCCGTTAAATACCAAAATTTAGTTTATTACTGTTACTTACGTAATATACATGTCATATATACTAAGTAAAAGCTTTCGTTTACACCGTTTTAAAACCCAACTCTTAACCCTAGAAACTATCTACTTATAACGGGGGTGTAAGAAAAAAACACGGGATTGCTTGTATGAAAATTTCCATGCACGACTGTTAACAATTCGGCAACACCGTCAGCGCTCGCAGCGTCAAATTTCGAGTTTAAAGGAAAACTTAAAACATAACTACGTAATCACAATAATTGTCACCTCACATTTCGCCGTATATATATATAGGCTTAAAGATAAAAAAATTCACTAAAAACTAACAAACATATAATTGTAATAAACTAATAACATAACGATTTTATAGTAAACAAATATTTGGGGACCGCCCGGCCGAAATACCTGATCCAACCCATAGAAATAATAAGGAAGATAGAACGCCCGACGATGCAGTTGAAAGTCGCAGGGGCCGCCATTTTTATTCCTTATAATTTAACCTCTTTATTAATGTAAAAGTGATAACTTGGAATCCTGAGTGTTGCTCGTTGCTGACGGATCAATTGAAATGGGAAAGTGTTTCCATAAATTATAACCTTCAAAACATTTTGCGTGCCCTTCCGGTATGCAAAAATGACACCAGCTCAACGCGACCGCCGTTTGGATTAAAAATGGCGGACCCCGCCGCGTCCTAACTTCCTCGTTCCTGAAAAACATCCGATCCAAAATAAAAAACGTATTTTAATACTGAACCCGACAAAATGCGTCCCCGAAAATAAATGCTACCTAAAATGCAACAACATAACAAAGAAAACTAAACGTCCGCCATCCTCGCGCTGAGCTCTATCGAGCCCTGGTCAGCTGCAAGCGACAAAATTCGTCCAGGCGAAGCCCGGCTAGTTCACGCCACAAAAGCCCCAGATCCAAGTCCATGGGGTCGGGTGTGGGGGGCGTGGGCGGGGGCGCTTTGGTGACCGCGCGAGGAGCCGCATGCTATGGCCACAGCTGTAACGGCCGCGACACGTGGCGGGTATAGCAGTAAGCCAACGGCTTGACGAAATGGGTGTCGACCGTGCGACAATGAGGACACGGTACCATGTGACTGTAGTCGCTGAAGAAGTTGAGACGCTGCGCCGGATGCAGCACCGGTTTGAAACAGGAGTTGCACTGTAATAGGGAAAATTGAGGTTATGTCCTGCTAAAGGACCGCCAGCTCGAAACGAAATCCGTTATATTACACGTTGCCAAGGATTTTTGAAGACAATTTTATGAACTAATTTTGAAATCCTCTGTAGACAAATTATTTGCGGAGAGGTACATGGTGTTCCATTACAAATTACCAAAAGGATAACTTTGTTACTATTGATCCTATGATGAAGTTTAAATTATCACGGTTGCGGAATTTTTCCTAAACCTTCCGATTCTGCAATCAAAAATATAAATGAAAAATTTTATCTATCAAATTATGACCGGTCGAATATTCGATTGATTTTTTTCTCCTTATTTCAAATATCTGGATTATATCTGACAGACAATTTATCTAGTTTTGGATGTAAGGATGTTGCTAACTATTGATTCAAAAATCAAATTGAAAAAATTACACAAGCGGAAAAGTTGGATATTTTGTCGGTATTTTTAAAATGCACTCAAAATCAGGCTACTGCCCGCACTGAATATAGGAAATTATATCCTCACAGAGTGATTCCAAGTAAAAAAAAACATTTTATACCACTTATAGTTAAGTGAAAATAGCAACTTGGTCAAAAAAATGTAACGCTAATGAATAACTTGATGTCCTGTTATATTTTAAGGTTAGAATCTCAATCACTACTATTAAAATTAAAATGTATTTATTTCAATTGCAGAAATTAAGTTTCAAAATATTTCTTTTCAGAGCATCCATCGAACTCTATCCGAGATTGCATGCGCGGATTTTTTTTTTAATTATTTTTAAATAAAAAATTAATTTAAATTTTAAATATTAATTTTAAAGACTCATAAAATGCACGCTCGCAAGTTGACAAAAATTCAATATCTTACAGACAAACCGAAACGTCTTGAGTTTTGCGTCATTATGTTAGAACGAATTCAAAAGTCACCTAATTTTACTCAACATACTGTGTACAGATGTGTACAGATCATTTTATAAGGCCTCACCCCCTAATTTAAAAAAAATCTGGTCGCCAATGTGTAGAAATTAGGTGCGGAATTATTTCTGGGACCCCATTTTTTCCAAGAAAGTATGACATGCGATCGATATTTTGATTTTCTTCGATTTAGATTTAGAGTAGAAGTCACCTCTTGCTATGATTCCAAATATAGCAACAACATGGGGTACCATATCACAATGTAAAAAACGTAAGAGACTATTTGCAAAATAAATACAATATCTAGATAGGAAAAAATGTTATAATACTCTCCTCCCAGCGGTCAAATTCTTACTACTCTTGATAGCTTTTTATGAGGATTCCTAAAATATACAGAAGAAAGCCGGCTGGAAATGCAAAACAGAATACGAAAAGAAGTTGAAGCCCTAAATGGGCAACCAGAACTTAAATTAATTTAGAATATTAAAGACGATATTTTAGGAAGACGTCTTTTGATAATACTTACTTAAGCATGTAATATTGTTATTTTGTTTGTTATAAGTTATACGTTATACGTAGCAGAAAATGTCATCGTAATTACCAATATTACACAATAGAAAATCATACAATAAATAAACTCTTTGCAATATTTAAAAAAGCAACTAATTTAATATTTTATGGCAAATTTTATTTTAGAATATATACTTATTGACTTGGTTACATCCAAATATTAGATAAAATTCGCGCTATTTCAATATCAGTCAAAAATAAATCATATACATTTGAAATCAGGAGAATAATGCAATTAATTGACAAATTCACTGCAGGCATTTTTAAAAAATGTCGACCCGTGAAAATTTTTAAGATAAATTTTAATTTTATATTTTTGATTGTAGAATCGGCAGGTTTAGGAAAAATGTTTCAACCTCAGTAATTTCAACTTCATCGTAGAAACAATATTAACCAAAGTATCCATTAAGTAATTTATAATTTATAATAGTAAACCCCCATATCCCACATCTGACACCAGAGAGTATCACCACCTTTAGAAGTTATAAAATATGAGAGAAATTGAGTACTAAAAATTCTAAAAAATTGTAGAAATTTAACCAAACTAATAAACAAAAAATTCTAATCAATAATAATATTATTCATAATAATAAGGGTATCACAATTATTGCTAATTGGGAGCAATGTTGCTTGGAAGTTTTAATTTAGTTCTCTGATATCGGTTAAAGTAAATTAAAAAAAAAACTAAGTTTTAGTCAACTTGTAACTATTCACTCATCGAGTGACTAAAATACTTTAGCTCTGCTTATACAGTAGCGCATTTTAAGATACTCAGAATTCTTTTTTTTTTAAGTAGCACCACGGACGTTAGTGCTCGACTTAAAGCTGTACTATTCCTATTGCTACTATTTGTATTTTTCTGTTTAATTTTAACTTAATATTATTTTTCATGGAAACCGAAATTTTCCGCTAGAACTCAACAAAGCGCTAGTTCAAAAAATTTAACAGCCTAATATAATATAATTATGCGACTGTGAGAATTGAAGAAATACTGTATCAAAAATACTCGACCGCTCTAACTTGCTCTTATCTTTTCTTGTTGTTTTTTAAAAATGTACTGCATGCAAAGTCTGAGGGGAACATCCTCAGAGTTGTGAAATAGTGAGAAACAACTCCGACATTTTCCCGTAGTAATTTATTTATATATTTTTTTTGAGAACATTTAAAATTATTAAATTTTTTAACTTTTAAAATTATTCCAAATTCTTTGATATTTCCGGGTTTTCAGCATCTCATCCTGTTAACAGTTTATCATTTTTTATTATTTCAGCTCGTAACTATCAAAAATGTTTATAATTACGGCATAAGTTTGACGCTGTGAAATGATCTCGACAGGGTTTAATTTTCCTAGCAGAAAACCACGTATTGATACCGGCAGAATAAAACAGAGACATTTACACAACGGAAATTGAATTTGCGCCGGTGACACTGTCGATACACCTCTCTGTATTTTCCTGTGCTATTCATAGCAGACCACCGTCCAGATAGGCACAATAATTGTCACATTTTAATCTATACCGTATTGTTTTAAAACTCGTCGAGTGTCACAAGCATCCGGTCAGAAAATACGTTGGGGTATAAAAATAAAAATGCGATAATAAATGACAGGTCTTTCTATAAAAATCTGAAGATTCAAGCCTACAACGACACCGGATGAAGTTAAGGTGGCAATAGATATAATGATGAAGTTATCATTCAACCATCCTAAAACAACTACAGCAGCTGAAGATTTTCTGAAGACCAAAGTACTTCGAAAGGCATTCAAGTAATACCAAATGGGAATTATAGGCATTGTAATTCTTATATTAAATTCTTATCTCTCTGAAAGACAGCAGCAAGACAGAGATCGGCCCGGAAAATCTGGAGAGCTACATAGGAGACAGAAAATTTTTGAAAACTTACTTTACTTCGGACATTCCAAATCTCTAATACCATACGGAATTATTCACTGGTGGAATGCGAATGAAATAAACCTATTACTTAATGCACCTGTTCAAAACGCCCTCAGTTTATACTACTAAATGGCAAATCTGGGAAATGAATATTTAACGACCTGTCAGCAAATACCCCAATATATGAGATTAAAAATATAAAATCATGGGAAAGCTAAAGATTTTCTTCCAAAAAAGTGTTTTTATTTAACTAATTTCAACTAATTACAGGTGAATTTGAAAGAATTCTAGAGGAATTCGAAGGAATTAAGCTTCTAAAAAGAATGTTTCATGAAAAAAGCTAAAGATTTTCTCATGAATTTTCTCAGATTACTAGCTTCAAGGTTTTTTTACATAGTTGCCTATACAGCGAGCGGTAAACAGTTGAAAAATTATGATCTATGAAGGAATTCCAGAAAAATTCCGATAAATTACAGAAAAATTTTGAAGGCTCCAGAGGAACTGAAAAAATGATGCATGTTAAAGGAATTACGAATACACTATTGCCTGTTTTTGTGTATTTATACTTTAGATGTTTATATTTGTGTTTTTAACCTTCACTGATAACATGATAATGTTCATTTCAACATTTTTATTAAATTCGTATATCTTTAACGCATCTGAAAAAGCGACACTTACTTTGATCCTTTCGGTGCAGCAGGGCATGGCGGCGAATATGTCGTAAGAGTACATAGTGCCCAAAACCAAGGAAGATCCATCCCACTTGAGGTTGCAAAATCGGCAAACGATTGCCCGGCCGTTGACGCCCTCCAGACATCCCATGCACACGACCGTTAAAAATTGGGTGCGACCTTCGACTTTCACCTGCGACGTCGGCAAAAAAAAATCGATATTGTTAAAATTTATGAGACCGCACTGCGTACCGATGGCGAAGTTGAAAAAACACGGTGCGATGCAACGCATCGCTGATTTCTCTTTATATGGAATATAATCGGCGGCGAGAGAATAATTAATACCGACGCGTTTTAAATATCGGCAACCGAAAACGGATCGAGATATTTTTCGCAATACGGGTGTCCGCAATTGTTGTGCAAGCCGAATTTTAAGCCAGAACGTAACACAAACGCTGCTTAGTTTAAGTAGACTTTCACTCCAATACTGAAAATTTACCACTCCTGTTTTGGAGCCACTAATTTCAATGCAAAATCAGAGAGGTCGTCATCGGACTTTAAAATAGTGTCAGGGTAACTTTTTCTGGCCTCATGGTCACGAATTTCTTCAGCCCTTTCACATAACTTCCAAACATCCTAACATCAGAGCAATGAATTTCTTAGTTTTCATAGCTAATTATAAGTTCTATTTCCTTTCAGAGCAGAAACATTGTCTCAACCTAAATCTCATAGCTAGGAATTAAACCACCTTACCTCTGTTCTTCTCTCAAACAGTTGACATTGACTCTCCGTTTGTTACCGCAGTACTTGCGGTACGTACAAAACGTTACTGACAAAATATCAAATATTCTTCAAACACATAACATCAGAACCAGATTTTCTACTGGTCAAAAAATCTCCTTCTACGATCAAAGATACAATTCTACTCGAGACAGCAGGTGTTTACTGGATGCCGTGCTGGGTTAAATAAAAAAAAAAGGAGAAACACGAATTTGAAATAGCCATAAGGTCAAATCAAGGAGAGATCAGTTGCATCAGCATCAGCAGTTTCCGAATATAAATATGAATTTGGGTTGCTCATTGCTCATGATGGGTAGTTGTTGCATATCAGTGGTGATTGACCACTGTCACAACACTTTATACTCGGTGTTGAAAAACTTCCCAAGACGGGGATAAAGATCGACCATGCCCCAGCTCGCACACAGAAACATTAACATACTTACGGATAGTCAGGCATCATAGAGAGCAGTGAAATCACCTGGACGCTACTCTAAAATTGTAAGAAGCTGCCATGAGCGAAACAAAAAAGCCTTTTGGAGCGGAAGAAGGTCGATATTAGTTATTTGTCGTCAATCCGCAAACAATGCAATCGACACCCATAGGGCAGAGGAAGTAGTCCTGGGATTGTTCGCTTTTTCTTTACAGTAATTATTTTAAATTTGACCTAATAAGACTGTATCCATGATTAACAACAGGCGTGTTCGACTTAAAAGCTACATATTCCAGACATTCAGATAATTAGGGCTTCTCGATAATTGGGGACTTATTCTTACATTTCCCCGACATCAAACATCTCCTAGCATTATTTTCCCTTTAATATCTAAAACGGTGATTATCGATCCTAACACTTCTCTTCGAAGTTACTCTAGTTAGTCGAGACGAAAAACACAAACAATATGCGGACACCCGATATTTTAGCGGAAACATTTAAGAGCAAGTAAAACATACCTCGATGCAGGATTTGGCGTGTTGCCGTGGACTGAGGAAGAAGGTTCCGTCTACCAGTGGATACCTGTCGAACACCAGTAGTTGTTCCTCGCAGAGGATGCAGTGGACCTTCGACCGGCCCTGAGAGGCGAGAGTGGACAGAATGAAGCAGCGGGTGTCGTCGTTTCCATGATTCCCCTCGTCCTCCGTCTGTAACAGATAAATATTTTCATTAGGTGATGGTAGTGGAGCTTGAGGATGTTGGTAATTAGCCAGTTGACACAAAAACCATTTCCTAATAAAGCCAAGATCGTTACGCTGAGCGTTCGTATTAAAACCAAGTACGGATTTGCATAAAATATTCCCACAGTAGACGAGATCGTAACTGGCTTCCTTATATACACTCCCCGCATCATCTTGTAACCATATTACCCAGAATCTCGAACTTTATTTTCGGACTGTTCGTTTCATGAATATAAACGACCCCCGGTGCAATACGAAGGTAAAGATAACTGGAAACTGCAGCAGGCATCGTAAAATACTTTACGACCTCTTCGTCTGCAAGAATATCTCGTGTGTTCTTTTTGGCCATCGACGAAAAGCGAACGGTTTGCTCAATAGCGACAACTGCAGGAAGCGCGTCGCAAAATAAATTTTTGTTTACACTATAAAACTGGCCCGTTAACATGCCGATAGCATTGTAGATACCGATCTTAATTGTTCGGAATATGTTTTGGGTCGATTAATCGTCTTGGCAGGCAACCAAAACTTGGCACGACGTATTGTACACTGCTGCTGCTAGCTGCAACGGCCTGCCTATCATTTACTTCTTTTTGAAACCTCTCGGCATACAAAAATTATTAATATCGGTGAATGAAAGTGACTTAATTTGATATGATAACTGGCGATAGTCTCTTCGTTAGGGAGAGAAAGAATAAAACGCTTCTTGTAACGCAGTCGTAAACCAGGACAAGATGTGTGCTAGCTTCCACTGGAAGTTCAATTATATCGGGAAAATGTAATGAAAACGGTCAATGAACAATGGAAACTACTATCCAAAAAAGTTTAAACGAATGACAAGTTTAAAATTGAGAAAATTGGCGATACTGTCTTCGTTAGCGAGAGAAAGAATAAAACGCTTCTTGTAACGCAGTTGTAAACCAGGACAAGATGTGTGCTAGCTTCTACTGGCAGTTAAATTAGATGGATAAATATATCGAGGAAACTGTAATGAAAACAATCAATGAACAACGGAAACTACTACTCAAAAAATTTAAATGAATGAAAAGTTTAAACTAGGGAAGATTGACGGATTATGCTAATTTGTTGACCTGTGATCTCAATATTTAGTATATTTATTGATTAATTAACTAGGACTTCAAAATAATATTCACTATAAACAATAAAGCTAAAATTTAACATGACGCACCTACTAAAATTGCAATTCACCATTGAATAGTGAAGTGAAGAAGAAACAGTATAAACACTATGGCAATTCTCGATGGACCAGAAAAATATTCCTTAAGGTTATATATGGCAAATGTTGAATGCGTATTTAAAGAGTTTGGCCTGAGAATCTGACAGTTTACACTTTTTTATAACATGGAGAGTTGGGTGATTTATTGTTTAATTTATTTTTTATTTGTTTTTCACGATCATCTGATGTTTAATGGATTTTTTAAATGGCCTCAAATAAAACAAATATAATATTTATAATATAATGAATTTCGAGACTAAAATTAAGTGACCTTTTAGTTCCTAAGCATCTGGAGCTTTGAAAATAAATCAAGAAGAATTAAGTTAAAACTAGTATGATTGTTGGTTAATTACTGTTATATGCAAACTTTAACAATCAACTTTACTTTTGAGTCAATTTTTTAAAACAACCCACTCATAAAAACAACTATTTGTGATGACCTAAGGATCTGCAACAAAAAAGAAAGAATCCTGAAAGGCAGCTTTAAAGAGAATGAGAATCATGAATGTACAACACAAATAAATATCGGTATTTTCAAGTAAATCTATACAATTTGTTTTATATTATTATTATTATTATTACTATTGTTAATTTTTTATCTAATCTATGTTACTTACTGTCATAGAGTAGGAACATATAAAAATGTATTGACTTTTCTTTTTATATCCGCCCATGACTGTGGCGAAAAAAAAAATCCGTTCAAAACCGCGTAAATTCGAATGCCGTTTCATACGTCATAAACAAATCACTTAACCGCGTGGAAGCACTTTCCGGGGAGCCATTAAACGGAAATCCCCCGATAACAACGAAAGTTTTATTGTCCGGGGTAAACTTTCGTATGATATACTGCGAACTATTAAGACTAAAACGAAATCCATTAGTACGTGAGGGCGGGGTGGAGAAGAAGGAGACGCGACGATACTAAACAACAACAACGCGCGAGAAGAAGAAAAACGTTGCAACAATTTCATTTCAATCGGACGTCTCGGAGGAAAGTCGCAGAAACAAAAACATCAAAGGGCAGGCATTTTCCCGGGACATAGACGGTAATTGGCCGACCGCCTCGCTTCGGGCATCTGACAGGTCCTGACTGCAGAAAGATTGGAAACATTTTGACCGATCGTCCGGGGTCAATCGTTTCGCGTAATAATTTTCCCTCCGGTCCGTAACGAATTTTTACTTTTCTGTCCGGGCAGGTTAATCCGGTTCCATAATAAGGCGGGGATTGACTCCGGATATAGAAATTCTGACAATCGGAAATTTTCTCGCTCGCGTCGGGCTTCTGATTGCAAGGTTGGCAGTTCCGAGAGATTAATTGAAAAGATATTAAGGAACGCGGGAGGTTTTCTGTCCTATAATTCACTTTGACGCGCCGGGGAGTTGCTAAGGCAAAATGAATTTTGCGTATTTCTTCAGGTAGACTACTTTTTGCAAAATAGTAAATGAAGAGTAAAGGAAAAAAAAGATGAGGGTCCAAGAAACTTAATTCTGGCTAATTTCGATTTTTATTTAGGAAGACTACTCTAGAACATGGTAAACAAAAATAGGATTTTGGAATATAATTATTGCTAACTTGAACTAAAATACTTTTTGACAGAATATACAAAAAATATGTAACTTGTCAATGCAAAATTATAAAAAAGAAACTTTAATTCCGATGCAAAAATAACTTGGCAATAAAGATGAAGGTCCATAATCATTACTCATCGCATGTAATGGTGGGTACTCAAAAGCAATATTAAAGTTGGTGTTGAATATTTCTCTATATTTTTCATATGAAACCAATTTGTCAGGATATTTTTGTTTTTCTTAATATTGAGCTCAGCAGGTAAATAAATTAGCCAAGCCATAGTGAGACTTTCTACTCTTAAAACATCTAATGTGTTCCATGACCGAATCTGTTACTTCTTTAGAAAATCGGATTTCAATGTGTAGTTTATAGCCTCTTCGCAGTTATCCCATGTATGGCTAAAAAAGCTTTATAGCACACTGGGATTTCACAGAGTTCGTTGTTTTTTAAAAATTTCACCTTATAAGTATACGAAAATGAATGAAAATCAGCTTCATCTTCAGATTTCCTAGGACGATGGCGTGTTACAGGTTTGCACGTTATTAAACCAATCAGATAAAGGAATTGTTCATCATAACTTTGTAGTTGATTAAACTTAGACACGATCGTGCTTAAATCGACTGCAGTGAGATATTGGAAACATTTGCAGTCGTGTCCAGTTTGATGACTACTTAAGCGTAACTTTTTAGTTACATCCTGCATTCGTCCATAGGTTTTCTTTTCCTTGTTTTTTGTTGCTCAGCCATTATTCAACAACAAGAAATACACCACAAAACTTTAAGAACAATAATTACACCAATAAACTTCAACGTCAATAAAAACAAGTCGGTAAATAGGGATTGAACTGTATGCATTATTTACGATCATAAGACGTCGAAATAGCACGGCGTTGCCATTTCCTATGGACTATCATCTTTCTTGTGCACAACCTCTTGGACCTTCATCTTTTTTGCCCACGGATATACATTTTAAATTCTGTTTATCTTTGTACTGTCACCTTTCTAGCCATTTCTTATAGGTGGGTAGTATTCTATAGCCGATATATTATACGAAATAACTGTGTTATTTGGGCAAAAAATGGACCCACATCTTTTTTCCCCCGTACTCTCCAAATGTTTTGGTTTTTAAATGTAAAAATGAAAGTGATTTACTTTTATTTCAGTCACCTTTGGAATAGGTTATTTTAGTAGTTTATTTAATGTTTATTCTATAAAACACCCAAAGCAGCGACATCCGACTTGATGACAACCAAACAAGTAGTATGGTCGTTATTTGATTAAATCTCAAATTCAATCCATATCGCTGGGATATCGTTTACCATAACATCTTTACGAGACCATTTAGAACTCCATTCCAATTTCCACTACCTTGGATATCAAAATAAACCGGAAACATTTCAAACAGATTTTCTACGATCGATCAGGCTAAAAGACCAGTTTCTGACACTAAACTAAAAGTACTACCTAACTAAAGTACTTGTATCAAAACCTATTCTTCTATGAAATGCAGGAAATTCATCCAAGAATTCCATTGACACAGGCTTTTATCCTTTTTCCATTTGGGACTCAATCATCCGCCCAACTATTAAAACTTTCCCCTCCCAAGTCCTCTTCTGCTTCTTAACACTCTACCGATTACTTGTTAACGTAAAATTTCTTTTTTTTTTCTAATTAAAGTGGTAACATTATTTTAAATTCAAAGATTGAGTTAAGTTAAAAATAAAAAATATCAAAAATCATGGCATCGACATATTATTTTGACAGCACATTTATGTCCCAAATTTTAAGATAATGCAAAATTGTTAAATAGTCGAGGAACAGTGATACATAACCTAATAATAATGAACCCTGAAGATATATCTCGGGTCTAAAAATATTCTGTCCCTTTTATTGTCCAAAAAATACCACATAAGCGATTGACAACGGTCATTGCTTATCAAGATGACGTCAAATTTGTCAAATTTTTTGACATCACACAAAAGAACCTGAAAGATGTCCACCTTCGATTTTAAGATTATCAAAATTGTGAAACTCTAGAGGAACATTGATAAATAACCTAATAATAATGATCCTGAAGATATATCTCGGGTCTAAAAATAATCTGTCCCTCTTATAGCCCATAAAACAGCCCATAAGCGCTTTTAAGTCTCCGAAATCTAAAAAC